TTACAAATGACTAAATTTTGATCCCTGAAATCATTGGTAACACCCATGTTCACTTTGCCTGGTTTTGTTGCAGCATGCCCCATATAACATATATATAAATCTACATATAATCCATTTATTATTATTATTAGGCTTATGCTATTGCGAGTCAAATGGATATTTTTTATAGAAGCATTGTCTCCATTTATCTTGACAATAATATTTTATCCCATCATACTTAAAGATCCAAATCATGCAAAATTTCTGACAAAAGAAGAAGATTCAAATTCGAACTACACCAAAGAAATTAATAAAGAAACAAATGTTCAGTGTTTCACTGATTTTGCAATTAGTGCACTTGCTAATGCAGTGTTTTTAAATTCAGTTCTACTTTTTGCTCCAATAATGATAAGAGAAATTGGTTATGATTCAGACAGAGTTCAAGCATTTTCAGCTCCACCATTTATTATTGCTAGCATTGGTCAATGATAAGGCATGTAATCATATGTGTCATCATTGCCAGATTGCTTTATCATCTTGTGTAGCATCTAATATTGTTAATATAACAGTCTGTTATTGATTTATTTGATTTTTTTTTCAATATAAAAGGTAACTAGAATGGCATCTTTTTTAACAGCAGGAGAAATTGGCAGTCAGGTTTATAGAACACACAGTTGTTTATGTGGTCATACATGTCATAATATTTTTATTCATCTTGTTGGCAAAATTCATATTTACTAGACTTAACAAGAAAAAGATTTACTTTAATAAAAAAAATAATATATAATAAAATCAACAATGAGACATTTACCACAGAATATCTTATTATTATTATGGGGGTTTTTTTGTGTTATATAAAATTTACATTTTCATTAGTTTTTATAAAATTGATAGCAAAATACTATGGTTTGCTCAGTCTAAGACCTCCTATTGTTGCACCATGTGCATAAATTTCAAAAATTGCGATTTCATGATTTGTTCAAAAATTTTTCAAAAAAGGTCTTCATGTGATTTGGTTAAAAAATTGTTTTACTTACTGATGATTTTGTTCAAAGATCACATATTGTTTAAAGAAGACAGAACTACTAAGACAATGCTAAAAATTTTGATCTTGGTGGTAATACAGAGATGTCCACTTTGTATAACTATGGTTGACTTGGTCTAAAGCAGTGTTGGCAATTTAACTGGTTCAAATCTTTTTTGAACTATTTGAACTTTTGAATTGTTAATTAGTTAAATACAGAGGGTGATCATGGGTTTCCAAATGATTAAAAAACCGTTTACATTTATTTATTTATATTAATATTTTTTTTAAAATAAATGAAAATTTACTTGTTCCGAATA